TCTGCCTCGCTGGTCTGCCCGGCGCCGACTTGATGTGCTGGTCTGCCGTGCTGGTCCGCCGCGCTGGTCTGCCGTGCTGGTGTGGTCTGCTGTGCTCCTGCCGTCTGCCGTGCTGCTCTTGTCGTGCTGGTCTGCCGTGCTGAAGCTGCAGCTCGGGGCCCTGAAGGCGAGGAAACAAAAGGGGGGGAGGAAGTTCTCTCTCTTCCAAACCCGCGGAGGGGCCACCAGGGGGTCCAGGGGCCCGGCAGGCCGAAAGGCTCCACGTTGGCCGACGCCCACCCACCCGGGCCTCGCCTCCTCTGAAACCTCACTCGCTTGGCGGGCCCCTCGACCATGACGACGACGAGTTGCGCATCCCAAGACGACCTCACAACCCGCGAGCGAAGCACACAAAAGCGTGACATCTGCGAGACCAGAAACATGCAGGGCGTGAGAGCTCGGCCGGGCCAAAACCATGCAGAGGACCACCCTGTCAGTCGCTGTCCTCCTGCCGCGCTCCGCGGCTCTGCAGGCGGCGGCGGACTCGGCGGCGCTCCTGCCCGCTGGCCGCTGCCTCCGCCCGCTGGCCGCCAACTTGGGCCTCGTCGAGGCCGCTCGCCGCGAGGAGGCCAGCGCGGCCTCCCTGGGCGGGGGCCGCAGATCAGGTGGGGAAAAAACACACAGTCACAATTAATCTTCGATTCCCCAGAAAATATGGGAAAATATGGGAAGTGGGGGGCAAGACAGAAACCCGAAAAATATTGGAAAATATGGGGAATATGTTTATTAGTGTGTATTTATTTGTGTGTCCTGGGGCCCCTTCAGCAGAGGCCGCAGGCCCATCGGCGGAGGCCTCGAGGGCCTGGGCCAGTGGCGCCTGCTGGGGCGCCGGCAAACCCGGGGCTGTGGGGCCTCCTGCCCCCCTGGTTTGCCCGGCCCTGGCGCGGCAGCGCCCGGCCCGCTCGGGGCGCCCGCGCTCGCCGCAGCGCTCGTCGCGGCGCCTGCCGGAGCTGCCGCCGCCTCGCCCTCGCCCTGGAGGCCGAGCTGGGCGAGGTGGCGCTCCTGCGCGTCCTCGGGGAGAAGCCCCTGCTGCCGCAGCGGCGGTGCCTCGGCTCCTGGCACCCTCTTGCCACGCAGGCGCGGGGCTCCTCCAGGGTGCTGGCCCCTCTCCCAGAGGCGCAGCTGGTTCTGGCCGCTCTTGTCGGGCGCCTTGCCTGGGCAGGGCTCCTTGAGCCTCGGCTTGCCCCCGCTGCGGCCGCCCAGCAGCGCGTGCAGGCCAGCACCTCCGTGCTGGGCAAACGTGCTGGTCTGCCGTGCTGCTGTGGTCTGCTGTGCTCCTGTCGTCTGCCCGTGCTGGTCTGCCGTGCTGCTGCGGCCTGCTGTGCTCCTGTGCTCCTGTTACCTTGCCTCTGTGTGGTCTCCCGTCGAGAGCACACAGAGGCGGCAAGATGCGTTCACGCCTCGTCTCGGTTCAAGGCCGTCGATCGCCAGGCCACTACAATTCGAACAATCATGCCTCGCGCCCTGGTTCAAACGGCCGCGACGTGTGGCGAGGCTCGGTTCAAACGGCCACACCTCGGTTCAGCCCGCCACGCCCGGATCAAACGACCACGCCGCTACGATTCGAACGGCCATGTCGCGCCCCGCCCCGTCTCGCCCGCCCAGCACACACCCTGCACACACGCTCGCACACATGCACAGAGCTGCACACAGCCGCACACACAGGCACACGCCCACAGGCACACGCACACACACGCACACGCTCACTTTCGCTCTCTCTCACACACACACACACACGCACAGGCAACATACGTTCACGCTGACCGCAGGAGCACGGTAGACCAGCACGGCATAAAAGAGCATTGCTGCGGACCACCTCGCACGGACGCACATGCACATACTCCACGCACGCGCACGCGCAAGCGCAAACGCACGCACGCCACGACAGACCTGCGGGGCAGACCAACACAACAGAGCACATTTCACACACCTAGTGGGCAAAAGCGACGCTTCCCGTTCTTGTCCGGTCAGGTTCCCCAAAATGGCCATTTCGCTCGAGACATCCTCCAAAAATCGAGGTGTTGGAGGCTATCGTTTAAGACGTCTTAGGAACCGAGAGGAGCACGGCAGACCAAGACGAGGAGCACGGCAGACCAGGCACCAAGAGCGCCCTCAAGACGACGGAAAGGATGACCAAGACGAGGAGCACGGCAGACCAAGACGAGGAGCACGGCAGACTATGCCCTAAGAGTGCCCTCGAGACGGCACGCCGCTGACGTTTCCCCCACAGGAGCACGGCAGATCTCACAGGCGCGCGGCAGACCCCAAATGAGCACGGCCGACCACAGGAGCACGGCAGACCCCAAATGAGTACGGCAGACCCCAAAGGAGCACCGTAGACGCCTCAGGAGCACGGCTGACCACACAGGAGCACGGCAGACCACACAGGAGCGCGGCAAACCACAAAGGAGCAAGGCAGACCCCAAATGAGCACGGCAGTCCACACGTTCGCACGGCAGACCGCACGCTCGCGGAGGGCCTCCGAACGGCCCAAGAGAAACCCCGAAGGCCCCCCAGAGGACCCCCAAAGCGCCCCAAGAGACCCCCAAGAGCCCCCGGCCCCCAAGACGACCCACGGTGCCGCCAGGACGGCCCAGGATGTCCTCAGGACGGCCTCGAGACGGCCTCCAGACGAACTCGAGGATGACGGGAAGCGCCTCCGGCGTGCACCGTTGGTTCTGGGGCTTCATTTTCTCTAACTAAGGGGTACGGGCCCGCACTTCGGAACTCGCTGGCGGCGGCCTGCGGCAGCAGAGGGACGCGGGCACCCCGAGCCAGCCGGCACGGGTCCTCCTGGTCGTTGTCGTTGTCGTCGTCGTCGTCGTCGTCGTCGTCGTCGTGGTCGTCGTCGTCGTCGTCGTCGTCTTCGTCGTCGTCTTCGTCAATGACGATCTCGAAAATTACGACAAAAAACGATGACAGAAAACGACCACAAACATAACACAAAAACCAACCGAACACGGAATCCAACAACAAAAAAGCAATCAGAAAAATTACCGCAATCATAAAATGATAACGACGGCGACAGCGAGAACGGCAACAGCGGACGATTATAATGAAAACGACGACCACGACAAAGGAAAGGCACGCGACGACGACGACGGACAAACAAAAGACAAGACAGGCTGGAACAGAACAAGTAGGCTGGGCGACAACGGGTGAGGGCCCGCGTTTGCCGAGAGAAAAGCACGGTGTCGACACCATGATGTGGCCAGGGCAGCAGACTATCTCGACAGACCAGCGCGGCAGGCCATCATTTAGTCTGTTCTGTTGCGTTTATGGGTTTCTCTGACGTTCTCCCCAATACGGTCTCTGACGCACGTGGTGGATAAAAAACGGCGCTTCCCGTTCTTGTCCGGTCAGGTTTCTAAGTTGGCCGTTTTGCTCGGGACATCCTCTAAAAAATGGAGTTGGCGTTGGCTCCAGGCCGCCTTTGTGTTCAGATCGCTCTTGGAGCGCCCAAGAGGGTCCCCAGAAGGCCACAGGACGGCTCCAGGGGGCCCGCATGACGGGCCCAATCGTCAAATTCCCATCGGAAAACGTATATTTTTAGTATATACGACTTTCTCGTCTTCACGACGTCGAAGACGGTCCAAGAGTCCCCCAAGACCGACCCGCGACGGCCCAAGAGACTCTCAAGAGGCGCCCAAGACGGCCGAAGAGGGCGCCAAGACGGCCCAAGAGGCTCCCAAGAAGGCCCACGAGGGCCCCAAGAGGGGCCCAAGAGGGTGAGCCCGAATCGAAAATCGGAGCACCCCGCCCAAAGACGGCCCGAGGAGGCCCCAGGAGGCGCCCAAGAGGTCCCAAGAGGCCCCCGAGAGGCCCCCAAAACGCCCCCAAAGGCCCCCAAGAGGCCGCAAGAGGACTCGAAACGGCCCGCGAGAAGCCGCCCAAGAGAGCCCAACGAACTTTCACTTCGTCTCATTCTCAATACCCCGGCACGGTGGCGGGATGGACCGAGGGTCACTAGATGTTCCATCTCCTTATCCCGAATTCGGGTTACACAGCCCCGAGACAGCTCAAGAGGGCCCGAAAACGGCGCCAGAGGGATCCAAGAGGGCTTCATGTTACAGGCCTCTTGGACCGTCTTGGGGTTATCGCCGGTCGTATTCAAAATATAATGGGCCGTATTGGAGCATCTTGGAGTGGCCGGAGACGGCCGGAGGCATCCTGGGAATTCCTGGGAGGGGTGAGGGATCTAGTCCGTTTGACCAGATCCCCCCCCTGCAAGCCAGCCGGACCGAACCCCAAGGGGACGGCGGATAGCTCGGGATCTTGAAGGTGGACGCGGGGGCCGCGTGGTAACTGACCGCTCGCGCACAATACAAGTAATAGCGGTTCCAGGGCGTGAGTCTGGCTGCTATTCAGTGGGTCCTGGTCGCCGAGGCATGAACCCAGAGTACTTTGCAATGGGTCGTGGCCTCGGAGGCGCGTATCGCGTGTACTTTACGAGGGATCTGCGCCTCGGGAGCGCGAGCGTCGTATATTTTCGAGGGATCCTTGACTCGGGCACCGCGCAGTCCCCTCCTGTTCGCACAAGCGTTCCAGTTTTGACGTTCCCATGTGATGCCACACCTGCAACGAACGTTCGAACATTCGCTTCCCGTTCTTGTCAGGTCAGGTTTCTCGGATCGTCGCTGGACACCCCCTCCTGGCGCGCAGAGCGCGCCAGGGGCGGCGCCAGGGACAATGCCTGGTAGGTCCAGCGCCGATCCAAGAAATCCGCGCAGACCTCCGAAAGCTTATGTTTACGACGTCGTTTGTTCCTCAATCGTCTCACTCCGCCTCTTCACGTCTCCTCTTCATTCGCTCACGCCTCCGCATCCTTGGACACCCCACATCGGCTCCACGGTGGCAGCGGAACAGACGGCAGGTGTGACGGCTAGTTAGCTGTCGGCAGAGCCACCCCCGTGGACACCGGGGCGCAGCAGTGCGCCGGTGGAACTGGCGCACGCGATGCCATGTCCCAAGAGGAGCGATCATCAGAGGACGGCCGGTCGAGGCAACGGCGGCTCTCCCCAGCGGTTTTCGTCATTTTGGGGCTTTGGGGAGGTTTCTCGTCGCCAGGGCGGGACCCCCCTCGGATTACCCCGCGAATGGTCCGGGCGAAGGCCGATTTCGAACCAGGCGGGGGGCCCACAGTGGTCTCGGCGGGCCCTCCTCCAGGATCAGGAATCGCGAGGACGAGGCTCGCGGCAGGCGCGAGGGGCACAGCTGCGGACCAGGATCCACAAGAGCGGCCTCGAGGTCGGCTCGCCGGCGAGGAGGGCTGGCAGTGGAGCAATGTGGGCGCGTGCGCGATCGGCCCAGAGCCCGCTGCCTCGTCGAGCCTCAAGTGGCGCTGCCGGCGACAGGTCGCGGATGGAGCGAGCGGACGACGACGACGACGACGATGACCATGCTTTGGGCGGCAGTGACACCGAGCAGTTGTTTCTGTCGACGAATGGCATGCTCAGTGTCCTCTCAAGCCTTTTTTCTGTCCGCCCCAGCCTGCCCGAACCCCCCGCAGGTGAACCTTTTGATGCGGATAGCAATCTCAGTGCCAGCTCGTGTGCCTCAGTGACCCACGGTGGCGCGCTCGCATGAGGTCAATCTGCTCTGCAGGCACCCGCCGCCGTGCCGCGTCAGTCTACACCAAATGGATGTAAAAAAGTTGGGCCACCCTGGGGGCGCGCCAAGATGGTCGCGCCTCGCGTCGGAGAGCTCGCCCGTGGCGCGCATCGCGGGACGCCCCGCGCGACGCTGGGTGGCCCAGAGCCACCCACCCCCCCCATCGTCGGATGGCGCGGCGTCGAAGTGGTTCCTCCTCCTCCTCATCCTCCTGCTCCTCCTCCTCCTCCTCCTCATCATCATCATCCTCTCGGGTCGGGCGAAAGTTGTTGCGTGTACGGCCGGGCGCGGCTCCACCGCCAGGCACTCCTCGATGAGTGGACCGCCTCCGGCGCTGGGGGCGCTGGGGAGGCCAGTCGCATGCAACCGATTCCCGACCTCCCCCCACCTTGGTTGCTCCTCCCTTTCGTCCGCTCCGATTCTCTCCCCTCCTCCATCCCCTCCAGTCGCGCCAGCCAGCTTCCCACCTTCTCGTCGGTGCTTGGGGGACACCAGGGCAGTTGGACAGTGCTTGTGAGCTATTGTTTCGCAGTTGCAATTTTCAGCCCTTCCTGGTGACGAAGGGAAGCGAATTTTACACTCAGCTACTGTCAGAGAGCGTAGCAAACTGGCAGAAGACCCTGTCGCTGACAGGGGTGCAAGCTCTTAGCGTGAAGGTGGGCAGGCGGGCTCATCAGCTACAGCGCTGGGACTGCTATCTGGTTTCGTCAGCTTCAGTGCCAATTTCTCCCGCTGCCGCATGGAAAGTGGATTGCCTTCTTTGTGATACACGCCCAGCAGGAGCCAGGCCTCATCAGATACAATTCTGGAGTACCCCGTCTCCGCCTGGGGAGCGCAGTGCATCACAGTTCGTTTCTGTTGGCGTGTCTGGTGGCTTCGTATGATGTTCTTTGAATTCTGGGCTTCGTCAGCTACAGCGCTGGAATCTCCCGTCGCCGCCAGGGGAGGGCATTGCAGTTCGTTGCTGGTGGATCTCGCATTGATTATATCATTTGCCTTCTGGGCGTGTCAGGAACTGGGCATTCACTTCCTTTGTGTTTGGGCATGTATTAAAACATGTTCTGAAGCCGTGCGCAGTGCCATGGCAATGTGCGTGCACTCCTTGTGCAATGGCAGGTTTGGAGGAATGAAGTTGCGCCTTGGGCGTGGGTATTTGGCGATGCTCTCTGTGGAGGAGGCGAGCTCAGTAACCGCTCTGTTTTCGCGAGCTTGTTCGGGGAAAAGCTTGCTGCCCAGTGACCAGCGGTGTTTGCTCATCATTGACGGGGCCAGCCGTACCGAGCCGACGTCACCTCAGTTTAGCCAGTGGTTGTTCCCAGTGTACGGTGAGGGACTCATCAGAGGTATGCGCAGCAGTGGTCGTCTGCCCCTGGTTCCTGTACTTCCTGCCCTTCGTCCTCCGGTTCGGCTTCTTCGTGTTCGCGCCCAAGGGGCGGCCACAGGATGTGGTGTCCCTTCGCATCGCGAAGGGGTCAATCCCAATTCCCCCCCCCTCCCCGACGGCGCCGTGGCCGAGTGCGGTCGGAGGAGTGCGCCCCGCACCGCCACTGCAGCGGCGGCGCGGCTCGAGCCGCAGCCTCGTGTTCTCCCTCCCGGCCTCGCTGGCGCAGTTCCCCCCTTTGGGCGCCCTGGGCCAGAGGAGGAGGTGGAGCTCCCCCGCTCGGCAAGGGGCGCCACGAGGGCGCGAAGCCGCTCGCGGCTCGCAGCTCTTCGGTTCCTGGTCCTCACGTTCCTCGTCCTTTGTTTTTTCCCCTGGGTGTGGCGAGAGAGCGCGAAGCTGTTCGCGATGCGCGCAGCGCGGGCACCTCAGCGCCACGGAGAGGCCAGCGGGCAGACCGCCACAGCAATGCCTGCCCGCTTCAAGGTCCCGCCCATTGAGATACCCACGCAGACGGAGCCGCGCGCCAATGGCCCGCACCACGACCAACCAGAGCTACATTGCTACTAAGCACTATCAGGCATCCATTAGCGCTACCAGCTGCCATGAAAACCATCACAAGCAGTCCGGCTCCGACAAGTGCGAGGGCGGAAGCGAGGATCACCAAAGCGCCCAGGAATTGACACAAAAGCAGACAACCGAGAACCAGCCGCACGCCCTCACGACATTGAGGCGACCCCCAATACATCGACGACGCTGAAGGAGGGCTACTTCCCAGCGATCTGTTTCTACCACACCATCACCGAACACCAAAGTGGCGACGTCGACGGGGTACGCAAGCCTTACCAGAATTGGACACTAGAGTTGTGCGCCACCAATGCGGGCGTCTTGGTCGCCATCACCCAGGGCGCATCCGCTCATCGACAAGGTCATCGCACGCGACAGGACCGCGAGGCGCCGCCCGGCAATTGGGGCCACCGATAAAGATCAGGCGACGAGCAGCGGCGCCCACGAGAGCTACCAGGACCAGCACCAACAGCCCCACCAGCGCGAAGCCAACCAGTAGGCATGTCATCCACGAGCCACTTCCCCAGGCAGGGATGCATGGCTACAGATGGCAGGGAAGAGCAACAACCACCAGCAACGACCTCCGCCGAACATTCGGTCAACTCCGACCCCCGACCCCATTCTGACTGCTGGACCCGTGGCTCGCCTCGAGGAACAACAACATCGATGCCACCCCCTCTCTTGCTTCGCGCACCGAGCATCTGCAGCTTTATGCTACAAGTGTTATTCTACGCGACGGCACCTCCTACAACTCAGCCAGCGACCACCTTTCGAAGTTGTCGGCTTCTCCAACTGACCCAACCCATGCACCCATTGCCATCCATGACAGCGGCAGCACCAGCAGACCACCCCCACTCGACAGGGACGACTCTAGCCACTGACCTACCTTAACACCAACCACCCATTCCAGCCGCGGGACCCCAAGCGCTTTCGATTACAGCCAACCGAAAGTTCCGACACACTCTCCGTCCTGAATGGGCCCCTGGTGACCTGTCATGCACGGCCTGGGCGCTTGGTGGGCAGCGCCCCACCCCCGCACAGATCACCTCCAGGAGCAGACGAGCCAGGCAGAAGGTTGAGGAGGCGGGGCTCTTTGAGCCTCTTTGGGAAACCCACTAACTCCCTTCTGCCTCCTGGCCCCCCGTGCCCTCTTTCCCGCCTCTCCCCGCCCGCCCCCCTGAGTGGCTCTCCTGAAGGGGACCGCCTTCCACCCACCCACCCACCTCCCACGCAGGACGGCCCTCGCCGGCCTGCGCGCCTCACCTCCCTGGTCGTGGTCGTCCTCCTGTGCTCGACATTCGGTCCCTCGGTCCGCCCTTTCTTCGCCCCCCCGCGGCACTCCCTCTCCCCGTCGTCGCGCCCGCCGGTCTCACCACCGGCAAGACCGAGCTGTTTTCCGAATGCCCCCGCCCACCTCGACGGCGCGCGCGGGGGGGGGAGGCGACGGCTGCACGTTCTCGGAGAATGCAAGGCCGCCAGCCCTGAGTTCTGAGCCCTGATGGGGGGAAGGGAGGGAGGAGGGGGAGAAGAAAGAAGAAGAAGAAGAAGAAGAAGAAGAAAAATAAGAAAAAGAAAAAGAAGAAGAAGAAGAAGAAGAAGATGATGAAGAAAAAGAAGAAGAGGGGGAGGAGGAGGAGGAAGAGGAGGAGGAGGAGGAGGAGGAGGAGGAGGTGATTCCATCCTCCTTTCTCGGCAAGAGGAGGGGGGCCGGAGCAGGATGGAGTCGCGCCCTCCGTCGCCCCCAGGACGGCCGAGGGTGCCCTCTGCAGGCTCGGGGCGCTCAGCGACGACGACGGGCCCTGAGTCTCTGCCTGCCCCCATCCCCCTCTCATCTGTTCCCTCTCCACCACTCCCTCGCGCCCTCCCCCCACCTCTTCTCGCCCCCCCCAAAAAAACACGGCGGGGGGTTGGAATAATTGTCGGCCTCCGGGGGCCGTCGCCGCCCTCCAGGACCGTCAGAAAATTGCCCGGGGCGAAGAATTTGGGCAGGGCTTTCTTCGGGGAAGGACCCGTCGGCAGTTGTAGGGATTGCGCGTTGAAAAAAAGCACTTGCACCGCATGTTTGGATTTCCCCCTCCACGTGCTCCCCCTGCGACCCCCCTTTCCGCCCCCCGTTCCGGCCCCCCCTGCTCCCCCCCCTACGCGAAGCGTTAAGCATATAATCATCCAGCTCGGCTCGCTCACCAAACCACACCCTGGGATACCCCCCCCGCTTTCTGCGAAACCCCAGGGTGGTTTCCCACAGTCGCTTTCGCGGGACAGTTCGGATGCCATGCTGCCGGGGGGGCGGGGGGGGGCATTCAGAGGGCAGTTGTCTGGGCGGGCGGACGGACGGCCCTCCGTCTTTTCTTCCTCAGATACTCCTGTGGATTCCCTGTCCCTGTCCCTGGTCCTCCCCCATCCTCGTCCCCATCCCTCTCCACCGAGACATGCGACTCTGGAGTTGTTCCATGTGGGGCCCCCCGGAAGTCCCCAACCCTTTCCCCAGGGCTGGTTTTGCTTCCCGAGCAATTATTCGACGGTCCCGGGGCCTGGCGAGGGCCCCCTGGTGACCTCCTGTTGTGATTTTCGTTGCACGACGCAAGCATGTTTGTGCTCAGTTCTCCCCCCCCCCTCCGGCGGGCGACAGCGGCCCCCGGCCCCCGCCCTCTTTGGCTCGCGGCTTCCCCGCCGCCGCTCCCTCTGCCGGCGTCGGCCCGCGCAAATGGGCAGCGCGCGGATGTCGCCATCAAGGGATCGGGTCTTGAGGGATTTTTCGCCGAGCCCGAGCCCGACCAAAGCCCGAGCCAGAAGCTGAGCCCGAATCCGAGCCCGAGCCGCTCGAGCTCGCACTCGACTCGGACTCGAGCTCGGGCGCGAGCATGAAGCCCGAGCACGAACCCGGGTCCGAGCCCGAAGCTGAGCCCAAGACCGAGCCCGAGCTTGGGGTCCGGTTCTCACAGTTTTGGCGCCCAGAGGTCCTCCACGGGCCCCGGAATTCTCAGAAAAAGATTTAGCATGAAGAATTGGTTCGGGGGGAAGTCCCCAGGGT